CTATTATAGAGCTATAGTCCTGAAAACAGCTTGGTATTGGCACAAAAATAGACAGGTAGACCAATGGAATCGAATTGAAAACCCGGGTATTAACCCACACACGTACGAACATCTGATCTTTGACAAAGAAGCTAAAAATATACAATGGAATAAAGAAAGCATCTTCAACAAATGGTGCTGGCATAATTGGAGACTGGCATGTAGAAGAATGCAGATCGATCCATGTCTATCGCCATGCACAAAACTTAAGTCCAAATGGATCAAAGACCTCAACATAAATCCAGCCACACTGAACCTCTTAGAAGAGAAAGTGGGTGGTACCCTTGAACGAATTGGTACAGGAGACAGCTTCCTGAACATAACACCAGTAGCACAGGCAGTAAGATCAACAATTAATAAATGGGACCTACTGAAACTGAGAAGCTTCTGTAAGGCAAAGGACACAGTCAGCAAGACAAAAAGGCAGCCCACAGAATGGGAAAAAATATTCACTAATCCCACATCTGACAGAGGGTTGATCTCCAAAATTTACAAAGAACTCAAGAAGCAAGTCTCCAAAACACCAAAGGACCCTATTAAAAAGTGGGCTGCAGAACTAAATAGAGAGTTTTCAATAGAGGAGTCTAAAATGGCTGAGAGGCACTTGAGAAAGTGCTCAACATCCTTAGCCATCCGGGAAATGCAAATCAAAACAACTCTCAGATACCATCTCACCCCTGTCAGAATGGCTAAAATCAAAAACACCAATGACAATTTATGCTGGAGAGGATGTGGTGAAAGGGGACACTCCTCCATTGCTGGTGGGAGTGCCAACTGGTTCAGCCACTTTGGAAATCAGTGTGGAGATTCCTCAGAAAAATGGGAATAAACCTACCACAAGACCCAGCAACTCCACTCTTAGGCATTTATCCAAAAGATGCCCATTCATACAACAAAGATGTCTGTTCCACTATGTTCATAGCAGCTTTATTTGTAATTGCCAGAACGTGGAAGCAACCTAGATGTCCCTCACCTGAAGAGTGGATAGAGAAAATGTGGTACATCTACACAATGGAGTACTATTCAGCAGAAAAAAATAATGGAATCATGAGATTCGCAGGCAAATGGATGACACTAGAAGAAACCATACTGAGTGAGGTAACCCAGTCACAAAAAGAGAAACATGGCATGTACTCTCTCATATATGGATTTTAGACATAGATCTGGGGAGTGCCAGCCTACAATCCTATGGCCAGAGAGTCTGGGAAACAGAAACTTTATTTAGTGGCTGATCGAAGAAGAGGCAGACTCCCTTGGTTAAGTACTGAGCTGAACTCAAGAAAGCCAGTAACAGAGAGGGAGGACTGATGATCAAAGGGATTAAGACTGGGCTGGTCTAACCCCCAGAAACAGCTGACCAGACAAAGGTTAACTCTTGAATCCCAGGCATTAGCCTGGGAAGCCAGCATGGGACTGATCAAGACCCCCTGAATCTGGGTGTCAGTGAAGAGGCCTAGGGATTCTATTGAGCCTTGGGCAGCAGATCAGTACCCATCCCAAGTATACACATGGACTTTGGACTCCAATAGAACAATGTGAGGTGCACTCTCACCCTGAACTCTTGGGAAAGGGTCTAGGCCCTGCCCTATATGAAATGACACACTATGGACACCCCCATGGAGGGCCTCACCCTCCCTGGAGAAATGAGGGGATAACGGGGGGGGGGGGGGGGAGGGCACGGGAGGAAGGGAGGGAATGGGAGAGAGACCTGGAACTGACTTGTGAAGCAACCTTGATTCTTATCTAAATTTAAACTGGAAAATAAAATTTAAAAAAAAGTAAAAAAAATATATTTCTATATCAAAATATAATTGGTTTATCTCACTGATACATGATATTTATATTACCTATTAGTGTATATAGCTAATAGAGATGATACTTGGCATGTAATAGTATAACTGCAAGTATTATTTATATTGTTAATGTGAGTTTTTTTGTATCAGTTATAAATACTAACCATTAAATGGAAATAACAAAAGTACAATAGTTACCAACCCACTATTGTTACTATGTACATGGAAATGTTGTTATATCTGTTTGATAAATAGGAAACTGTGGGATTAAACGGTTTCATAAATCTATGGCAAGAAAGTGAAAAGTTTATGAAACAAACAAAAAATGTGAATCTATCGTCCCAGATTGCCCTTTCATCTGAATATGCTAAGTACTGCATTTTGACATTACTAGAAAGAAATTTGGGTTCTGCATTACTCATGGCAAGTAGTTGTTGAGTCCAATCTCAGTACAGTAACCATCCAATTGTCACTCACTTCACAGCTGTGCTTTCGCCAGGATAATTGTTCAAGACAGTCACACAGAGATGGGCTCCTTCTGTCTAGTGGATTTCCTTATCATGTATGTTCTAAGATTGCCTACTGCATGTTCCTCGTGTGGTAGGTCTATGAGAGAAGAAAGAGTATGTAAGAATGTCATGGGCTTTTTCTAGTCTGGTCTGGCATGCCAGTCATCATTTTTGCATGGAAGTTAGTCCCATGACTCCACCTGACTGGTAGGCTCAAATACATGCAGCTTGAGTTTCTAGGAAGAAAAGAAAATGGGATTCTGTGACAACCTTGTCGTTTCCCTATCTCTATTGAGTTTCTGTTGAATTCTCCTCTAAGACTGAATGGAGGACATTCAGAAGAAAGAAGAGTTTCAAGTGTTTTCTGAGAGCCCATCAAGTTGAACTCCTTGGGTGAAGGGCAGCAATGGTCACTTCTAAACCTAAACAAGGCTCCCATGTGATTCACCCAATAAGCAGGTGTAAGGCCTGTTGAGGACCACTGTATCAGAAACCATCAAGACCCAAGGCAACAAAAACAAAGAAATAAGTGAAGATGTTCATGTCAGTCCTGAACATGTATAGCACTGAGGTAAAACTTGCCTTCTTTCTTTTATTTTGGTAATATTTTTTTGTTTTCTGAATGTTTTATACATGTATAAGATGTATTTTGATCATGTCAATCCACTACTCACCCATTTAACATCACACAGCAACCCCACTCTAACTGATATCCCTTCCAACTTCAAGTTCTCTTTTAATAATTACTTATTAGTATTTTAACCCACTGAAGCCAATTAGTGTTGATGAACTGTGCAGGGATATAGGGTTATCTGATGGGTCATGAACAACTTTCCAGCAGTCACTGATCCTAAAGAACGTGACTCACTTTCAGCAACAGTCATCAACTGTCAACATCTCTTCATCTAAAGGCAGGGCTTTAATAGCCTTTCCCAAAGCCACGCTGGAACTTTTGACCTGATTGTTGTATGGGTCTTGTACAGTAACCACAGCTTCTGTAAGTTAAAGCATGCATCAGCCATGAATTGTCAGAGGTTAGCATTTCACAGCTCCCTTCCCCATCTGTCAGATCTTACATTTCTTTCTGGCCCCTCTTCTGTGAAGGTCCCTGAGTCTGGGATGGCAGAAATTGGATGTTGATGACACATCCACAGATGAGCACTCAGTGTCATTTTGTACTTGATACTTTGATCAGTTGTGAATCTCTGTATTTATCACTATGCACTGCAAAAGAAATAGAAGCCTCTTTTATCAATGATAAGTATAGCAAAAATCTAAGGGTACAGTCAAATATTTAGGATACACTTTGGTAGTATCGTTCTCATTCTGCTTCAAGCATAATACAAGTGAACATAGACGTAAACCAAATACTTATAAGTATGCAATGCTAAATAATAGGGCCTGAGAAAGAAAGAAACAGAGACACATGTTAGGAGGTATGGTAATTAGAGAAATATCAGGGGAAGGGAGAACATTTAAGTAGAGTCTGGAAGAATGAAAGCATAAAGCATGTCAAGACTGTTCAGAAGGAAAGATGTGTGTATTCAGTGTGTGGTTCCCCTGGCCATGTTTATAGGTCTGCTGGTGGGCCAGTTTGCTGAGAACATGGTGAGCAGGGCTGAGATTGACAACAGATGTTTTCAGAGAGCTAATGAGGAGAAAATCTTGCAAGACTGTGGAACACAGCCTGGCCTTTGGGTTTTGAGTCTTGTGTGATGGGTAATTGTGTGCAGCCTTGTAGTTGGGAAACAGCTTGATGAGCTCTATGTTTAGCAAATTCTTGCCCATTGGTGAGTTAAAGACTCATCTTTCTTACACTTATTTTTTTAAAAAAAATTTCTAAAAGCTTTGGTACCCACACACCCTCACAAATTTCTTCCTCCCGAGCCCTATCTCAATGAGAAAATATTCTGCAGCAGGGTGTGCATGAGCCAGTCCTGAGATTCAGGCATGTCTCTTTAGGGAGTCAGACTCCTCCAGGGGTCCACAGGTTGATTGCTAGGGGAGAGGGGCCTAAAAAACATGTGGTTCAAAAATTTGGAGTAAAAGCAGTATTTAAGGACACACTGAGTCTGGGAAATGTTCGTATTATTCACGCTTTCTTAATAGAGCTGGAACCTGTGGAATAAAATATTTCCATGAGATACAGGCAGCAGTAGACACTAGCTTATGAGCCTGAAAATTTATAATGACCTATAACTTCACAAGAGGAAGCCCAAATTATGAGCATATAATTAGAAAATCAGTCTTCCTCTTGTTTCAGCTCTACGACTCCTTATATGTCATCGTTGTCTCTATGGGTTCCCAAGTACATCCATCCTGCTGATTTTGAGAGCCTCTTTCCTTGATGTGCCCCGGCTCTAATATCCTTTCCTCCTCCTCTTTCACACTGTCCCATGATTTCTGCTGGGAGGAAGTTCATGGAGACGTGGAGATACCATATTTAGAACTGAGTGTTCTGAGGTGTCTCACTTTCTGCATATTGTCTGGCTATGGGTCTCTGCTGGGGGGTGTCCTTCTCCTTGCTGTGAATATATGTTTCTCTTATTGGTTGATGAATAAGGCTGTTTCAGTCAATGGATAAGCAGCATACAGCCAGGCAGGAAGTATAGGCGGGGCTTCAAGACTAGGAGAATTCTGGGAAGAGGAATGCATAGAAAGAGTTGCCAAGGAGACGCCATGTAGCTATGGGGAAGATGGGATTGCCTGGTTATTCTCTGGTAAGCCAAGACCACATGGACATACACAGACTAGTAGACATGGGTTACTGATTAAGAGATAGCTAGCCAATAAGAAGCCTGAGCCATAAGCCAGTTTATAATTGATATAAGGCTCTGTGTGTTTTCTACTACAGTGCTGTGGGACCAGGTGGGACAGAAACTTCTGTCTATGAGTCCCCATATCTGTTCCCATCTACTGCAGGAGGAAGATTCTCTGACTAAGGCTGAGCAAGACACTGATCTATGAGTATAGTGGAGTGTCATTAGGAGTCATTTTATTGCTACAATGTTTTAGTAGAACAGGAGTATTGATTTTGCTCTAGGTCCCTGGGCTATTAAGTCTCAGGTTCTTGGTCACCCAAGTAGTGTAAAGCATGGGTTTCATCTGAAAGGACTGGGCTCCAAGTCAAATCAAGTATTGTTGGTTGCTCCCACAAATTTGAGCCACCATTACACTAGCATAATTTTAGGCAGGGCAGCATTGTAGATCAAAGGGTTTGTGGCTGTGTTTGTGTTTACGTTTTCCATTTGGTATTATGCAGCGTATCTTTCTGTACCAAAAATATTCGCACGTCATGTGAATTCCTTGTTGTCAGTTTGTGGAGAACAACTTGTGGTTTGGGTTAAAGACTGAGTTATTCTGGGCTTCCCATGTGATCTCTTAACCAGAAACTCAATTATATATAACCCATTGTTGGTACCAGAAGCTTCATTTGGTGACAAGAAATGTTCAGTTTGTCCCCCTCTCCCCTATTATATCGTGATTTCATTTAGACTGCTGTCATATATATACATACATACAAGTATATATGAATGATATATTGGGGGAAGTTTCTACTGTATTAGGTTTCCTCAAATTGCTGTTAATTTTAGTGTTTCTCTTTCATCCCTCATCCTCCTCTTCCTTTCTGATTTCCAGATCCCCACTTAATCTTCCCATTCCAGTCCCCACCCACGATCCAGAGATGTTAAATTTTAACATTTTTTATTTACAATCATTTTACATATCAATCCCCATTCCCTCTCCCTCCCACCCCCTACCCACTCCCCAAGGATAGTGAGACCTTCTATGGAGGATCATCAAAGTTTATCACATCATTTGGGGGAAGGCCTAAGCCCTCCTCCATGTATCTGGGCTGAAACAGTATCCTTCCATAAGGAATGTGCTCCCAAAATCCATTTGTGCACTAGGGATAAATACTGGTTCCACTGTTAGAGGTCCCATAGACTGCCCAGGCCTCCTAACTGGCACCCACATTCAGAGGGCTTGGTTCGATCCAATGCTGGTTTCCCAACTATCTGGCTGGGGTTTCTGAGCAGAGCTATTAATTTTATTTTATTTCCGTTTCCTAATGATGAGTACATGCACTCACAGGCTCATGCGTGTGAGTACACACACACACACACACACACAATTACACATATGCACACACACAATCACACACATGCATTATATATACATATACATGTACATATATATACATGTGCATATATATATGTATGTATGTATATGTATGCAATGATCTAGTCCATTCTTTGTACCTAACCTCCATGGTTCTGTGGATTGTGCCATGGCTTTTATTGGCTTAATAGCTAACATACACACAAACATACACACAAAAAAAAGAGTACATACCATATTTTATTTCTGGGTGTAGATTACCTTATTCAGGAAGATTTTTATTCGAGTTCCATTCATTTACCTGAGAATCTTATGACTATTTTTTAATGGATGATCAACATTCCTTGATGTAAATGAACCACAGATTTCTTTATCCATTCATATGCTGAGAGACATCTATGCTGTTTTCAGTTTCTGCCCCAACCCTAAACCAGAAGCTATCTCCAATTGATAATCAGTGACAAATGAAAATTTACTTTTTTCCAAGGGAGCCTTACTGGGGAAACAAACTATTTTAAGGGTAAACTGCATACCCAGGTGTCGAAGGCCAAGAAAAAAATGAATTCACTGACATCTTTGGAGGTTCCTTGTATCATAATGCCATGTCAGGGCTGTCTTTCATTTTTTAAAAATTAACTTATTTTATTTTTCCTTTTCACCATACAGGTCCTTTTTGTATATATTATGGGTTCCAGTTTAATGTTTTTATGGGAATCTTGAAAGTCCTAAGGAGTGAGTTTCCATTCTTATACCTATTCTTGGGATCTTTACCTTTTTTTTTTTTTGTCACATTCCATTTGGGAGTTTTTGCTAGTTTTAAAATCTTTTCTTTTTAAATTGAAAATAGATTCTTCCCTCATAAGCACGTCATGACCACTGTTCCTCTTTCTTCATTCCTCTAAGATACCCCTCACCTCACTTCTCCCCCAGACCCTTTCACCTTATGTTTCCCTTCAGAAAAGAGCAGGCTTTCAAGAGACAACAGTGAAACGGGACAAAATAAGATACATTAAGACAAGGCAAAAGCCCTAATATCAAGGCTGGACAAGGCAACTCAACAGGATGAAAAGGGTCCCAAGGGCAGGCAAAAAGGTCAGAGTCAGCCCCACTCCCACTGTGAGGAGTCCCACAGAGATGTCGAAGTAACAACCATAACTTATCAGCAGGGAACCTGGTGCAGGCCCTTGCAAGCCCAGTGCTTGCCACTGGACTCTGTGAGTACATGTGAGCCCTGTTTAGTTTGTGATGTGAGATAGGAAAGGGATGGGTTTGTATGGGAGAGGATCTGAGGGGGAGGAGAAGAGGGAGCAGAAACCATAATATGGATATATTATACAAGAGAGAATTCTACCTTCAATAAATGGGAAAAAATAGAAAATGATACATGCTTGGGAGAGCACTAATCAGCAAATATGAACACACATGATTATGTGTATGATATCATGTACTAGACTAGGGCATAGAAAACCTGTTGGGAGCCATCACCCCTAGTGCATTCACACACACACACACACACACACACACACACACACACACACACACACAAAACCAGTGGTTTCCCAATTAGGCCTGGGGTGGTAGTTGACTCTCCTGCAATCTATACTGACAATTTTTAACTGTTTTGGTCTTATGCAAGCCTCGTACAGGTAACCACACAATCTATGAGTTTCTATGTGTAACAACTGTGTTATATGCAGAAGACAGCATTCACCCACTCACCTGCTCATCATTCAACTCTTTGCACCACTGACCCACAATTTACTTCTTGAGAATTTATTGAGTAGCCTAAGTACATGAAAATATTCATGTCTCAAGACAACCTATTAAATAAGAAAACACGTGTATAAAGAATTGATTGATGTGTGCAAAGGTTAGTAGCATGTACAAAGTAATTACATAGAGGTTCAGATCACAACATCATTCCTGTCTGACCTAAGAAGTCATTCTTGAAATACACATGAAGAAATCTTAAGAATATTGAGATGAGAATCCTGTGCATTCTCTTGCTGATATCATTCTGTATTTTCTTCCCTTAGTCACCCCTCAAGAGCTGTCTAGTGTGGCATATTTGGCATTCCCTTTGGATCCTGATTACCCGAATTGATCATTCAGCTGCATTATGTAATGAAACTTGAAAAGTTGACCTAATTGCTTCTCTCAGTGTACTCATCTGCAAAATGTGCATACTACTTCTCCCCTCACCATGCCTGTATAGAAAACATACAGCCCAGAGTACAAGTTATATCAGTGGGCTTATGTAGAAAATGCATGGTCCATGGGAAAGATTGTGATAGGGCTGCAGAGAATGTGTGACATTTCATGAGGTCTGGCTTCTGTGCAGCTCCCTGCTCTTGGCGTTGACTTCATCCATCACCTCTCTGACTTCTTGGATTAGTAACAAACCCAGAGCATTTCTGCTGCTTGCCACATATACTTCTCACTTTGCCGTGTAAGTTCTCCAGTGCCTCCTTTGTAAGCACCTGTGGGTATCACATCTGGGGGTGTGATTCAAGCTTCTGGGATTTCATACAAGGGCAAATGTTCTCTTGTGTCTGCCTCTAGCATGACACTTCATGCTAGAGTGACATTCCCTTCGTGTTGTGTGACATATGAAGCTATGTAGAGCAGGGAAATAAAATTCAGTGTAGCACAGAGGAAGTACTAAATAATCACCAGCTATATGGATAGTCTTCGTGACAATTTGTACACTTAACCACTGGGACTAATAGTCTCTCTTTCAGAATTTTTTCCTGGCCGGTAAGCTCAGTCTAAGCAACTTCCTTCAGATGAAGATGAAGTCATTACACCACTTATTATGGGATTGTTATCAATGTAATCCTCTTTGGTGTGGGCTGCTCTAGTAACTTTCTAAGGAAAGAATCACCAAGTTTTAATATCTCTTTCTTCGGCTCTTGCAGAGCATAGATGAAGAAAAATAAGACAGATCTTTACACAAACAAGCAGACAGAAGGAATTTGGAGGAGAAAAATACCTAGGTAATCTGGAATTTATTAATATCCTGATGCTATTTTAATCTAGAGGGGGGAGTGGGATCAGAACACTTCAGATAGACCCTAGGGGCTGTGGGCACATAGGAGGAGAATACAGAGAAGAGATGTAAATATAGAGTCACTGTAGATAAGCTAGGAAAGCCAGAGAAATATAGAATCCTGCCAGTGAAGAAGAAACGTGACAGCCCACTTTCATGGTCTCTCGCTAAAGATGCATTATTGCACGTTACAAAAATGGATATGTGACACAGACACTTGTGGTATCACCTCAAGTTGCCACTCAGATTGTTTAGATTTGTCTTGTCATATGAGCTACCTTAGAGAACCCGAGGCAATTGAGGCTCAGCAAACATACTGAGTATTCTGGGATTTCAAATTCTTCTGTAACGGAATTTCTAATTCTTCTGAGGTAAGTCGCTTAGCATGTCTGAACTCTGTTTGCACAGTGGAAACATCACCATGTCCCTCACTGGGTTGTGGTAGGCAGTGACCAATTAAAACCCGAGGAGAAAGCCCTCTGTAAATATGAAGTGCTAGTGAGGTGTAGAGTAACACACTGGAATCTTTGTTTTCCATCAGACACATCC